GTTTTTCTTCCCATGATCACTTTCTGGTTAAGCTGTGAATAGGGGCTGTATTACTTCAAAGCATCAAACACAGACATAGCCACCAGACATCAGACATGGGCTCTTCCCCTGAAGCATGATCAACCTTGGGCTTTGCAGACGCTATCTCAGTTAATCCCACACGGATCACGGGAAGTGGGGACTCTGGCTGATGCCCACTTTCCCAGGACGTTAGCAAGTATGTGAGGCGATGGAATAAGCAGATGGCAGACACATTCCTGTGCCAACTCCAAGTATACGTGACTAAAACCACAGTAATACGATGAGGCTGACCATGAGCCACAGTGCAGGGGGCGGGGGGTCAGGGGTCGTCTTCGAAGAACTGCGCTGCTGACACAATAAGATGTTCTTTGACCCCCTGAGCTGTTCCACAGGGTAGGTGGGACCCTGCTGGAGTTGGAGTCTGACTGTTGTTGCCTCTTGGCGGGACACTTACATCACATCAAGGTCAGATGGTGGACGTGAAGAAAAAGATGCGATCAGCCCATGAGGGACTGATGAGGCCTGGCACACGGCATTACAATGCTTTAAACAGTGTTTCTTGAGACAGTCTGCGGGCAACTGCAGTTTACCTGTGAAAGAAACTTCTCAGCACTGTGTGTGTGTGTGTGCATGAGTTATATATACATTATATATACATGTTTATACACACACAGACAGATACAGACACACACACACACACACACACACACGCTCCTAAGACATTTCTAAAAATAACCTGCCTCTGCAATTCTTAAGCATCTGGGACCAGATGTCATATTTCCTCTAAAAGCTTCCTTTTTACATTGCCGACAGGAATGAACCAGAACAATCTAGAACTTTGGGCTCCTTCACAGTTGTGGATTCTTATTTATCATTTTATACGATGGTCCCAGTGTGTCGAGATGTTCTCACAAACCGACTGCAATAACTTGAAGCAGGAAACACAGCGCGCTCACTATGAAATTCCGCCCACCCCACCCCCTTTCTGCTAACATGTGGCCTTGTACAAAAGGGGTCCATGTGATCTTTGCAGGCCAGAGATAAGGACTATGACCGTGGGGAAACTGGAAAGAAGGGTCAGCACTGTCGTGTCAACTTACTTGGGAGAGTGAGCCTTGTCATCTGGATGGACGAGGCATACTGCAGGCGCTGGGTAAACCGACAGTCACAGGCGGATGGGATCCAGCAGTGACTTCCACCTTCCCTGACTCCATAGGATCTGAAACAATCTGTCAGGGGGAGGCCCTGCCCACTTCCTCTCCCCACTCCCAGCTCTGACCTGGAGCTGGACTGTGTGAAACTACACACTCGGCCCATTCTGGAGGTTCTGAGACTTCAATTTATCACACACACACACACACACACACACACACACACGATCTGGCATTATATTTCAAAGATTATCTGAAATTTTTAATTTCCTCTTTTCTTTAGATAGGCCCTTCCCCCCGCCACTACACACATTCTTGAACATACAGTGCCTCCTACACAAAAACAGCAAGAATCAGTTTACACTCGAGACACGCACGATGTTAGAGCTTGGCCATGGCTGTGTCCAAGCCCACACCTTTCGCCCAGTCCTTGCTCCTATTGCCTAGTAAAGTTGTCTAAAAGAATTGAAGGCGCAGGAGGCAGTTTCCCAGCACAGATTGTTTTAGACTAACTTTAACACAAAAAGGAACGGGTTGTCAATTAAAAGTTACCTCCTTGCTTGCGTCATCTGACTTCATTTTATGGACTAGAGCTGCCCCAGAAATTAGTGACCTCAACGCTAAGGTATTTTCCTTTCTACTTTAGTAACTAACAAACCCAGTTACTAAAATGATTTCAAAAAAATTGCAAAACCATGTAAATGTGGCCAAACTCTTTTGATCTTTGTGTGTCTACGTTTGGAATTATATGTGAGAAACTGCTTCATTTTCTGCCCTATCTTACCTTTCTCTGAAGTAAGGAAAACAGGAAGTGATATTCTGAAGGTCTGGATGGACACTATGCCGTTAGAGTAGTTTACTCTCGAAACGTTACGTTAACGTTGGGGCACCCTTTAGGGTAGGTGGCATCCACCTTTAAAAAGGTGACCTTTAGCATACTTTTAAAGTTTTCCTCCTGGGCTTTTTTGCCAAGATTATGACATTCTCTTGGCAACCTGGCCTTCGCCTTGCTAATCCAGAAGAAAGAGAGAAAACTAAAATACTAAGTTTTTACAAATTGACACAAAAGCTCAACTATGTCAAATTACTAACCATCCCCGTGGGTCAGCAGAGTCTCAGCTTCAGGTTCTAACTAACCATCCCCTGTGGGTCAGCAGAGTCTCAGCTTCAGGTTCTAACTAACCATCCCCTGTGGGTCAGCAGAGTCTCAGCTTCAGGTTCTAACTAACCATCCCTGTGGGTCAGCAGAGTCTCAGCTTCAGGTTCTAACTAACCATCCCCTGTGGGTCAGCAGAGTCTCAGCTTCAGGTTCTAACTAACCATCCCCTGTGGGTCAGCAGAGTCTCAGCTTCAGGTTCTAACTAACCATCCCTGTGGGTCAGCAGAGTCTCAGCTTCAGGTTCTAACTAACCATCCCCTGTGGGTCAGCAGAGTCTCAGCTTCAGGTTCTAACTAACCATCCCCTGTGGGTCAGCAGAGTCTCAGCTTCAGGTTCTAACTAACCATCCCCTGTGGGTCAGCAGAGTCTCAGCTTCAGGTTCTAACTAACCATCCCTGTGGGTCAGCAGAGTCTCAGCTTCAGGTTCTAACTAACCATCCCCTGTGGGTCAGCAGAGTCTCAGCTTCAGGTTCTAACTAACCATCCCCTGTGGGTCAGCAGAGTCTCAGCTTCAGGTTCTAACTAACCATCCCTGTGGGTCAGCAGAGTCTCAGCTTCAGGTTCTAACTAACCATCCCCTGTGGGTCAGCAGAGTCTCAGCTTCAGGTTCTAACTAACCATCCCCTGTGGGTCAGCAGAGTCTCAGCTTCAGGTTCTAACTAACCATCCCCTGTGGGTCAGCAGAGTCTCAGCTTCAGGTTCTAACTAACCATCCCCTGTGGGTCAGCAGAGTCTCAGCTTCAGGTTCTAACTAACCATACCATGTGGGTCAGCAGAGTCTCAGCTCCAGGTTCTAACTAACCATCCCCTGTGGGTCAGCAGAGTCTCAGCTTCAGGTTCTAACTAACCATCCCCTGTGGGTCAGCAGAGTCTCAGCTTCAGGTTCTAACTAACCACACCATGTGGGTCAGCAGAGTCTCAGCTTCAGGTTCTAACTAACCATCCCCTGTGGGTCAGCAGAGTCTCAGCTTCAGGTTCTAACTAACCATCCCTGTGGGTCAGCAGAGTCTCAGCTTCAGGTTCTAACTAACCATCCCTGTGGGTCAGCAGAGTCTCAGCTTCAGGTTCTAACTAACCATCCCCTGTGGGTCAGCAGAGTCTCAGCTTCAGGTTCTAACTAACCATCCCCTGTGGGTCAGCAGAGTCTCAGCTTCAGGTTCTAACTAACCATCCCCTGTGGGTCAGCAGAGTCTCAGCTTCAGGTTCTAACTAACCATCCCTGTGGGTCAGCAGAGTCTCAGCTTCAGGTTCTAACTAACCATCCCCTGTGGGTCAGCAGAGTCTCAGCTTCAGGTTCTAACTAACCATCCCCTGTGGGTCAGCAGAGTCTCAGCTTCAGGTTCTAACTAACCATCCCCTGTGGGTCAGCAGAGTCTCAGCTTCAGGTTCTAACTAACCATCCCCTGTGGGTCAGCAGAGTCTCAGCTTCAGGTTCTAACTAACCATACCATGTGGGTCAGCAGAGTCTCAGCTCCAGGTTCTAACTAACCATCCCCTGTGGGTCAGCAGAGTCTCAGCTTCAGGTTCTAACTAACCATCCCCTGTGGGTCAGCAGAGTCTCAGCTTCAGGTTCTAACTAACCACACCATGTGGGTCAGCAGAGTCTCAGCTTCAGGTTCTAACTAACCATCCCCTGTGGGTCAGCAGAGTCTCAGCTTCAGGTTCTAACTAACCATCCCCTGTGGGTCAGCAGAGTCTCAGCTTCAGGTTCTAACTAACCATCCCCTGTGGGTCAGCAGAGTCTCAGCTTCAGGTTCTAACTAACCACACCATGTGGGTCAGCAGAGTCTCAGCTTCAGGTTCTAACTAACCACACCATGTGGGTCAGCAGAGTCTCAGCTTCAGGTTCTAACTAACCATCCCCTGTGGGTCAGCAGAGTCTCAGCTTCAGGTTCTAACTAACCATACCATGTGGGTCAGTGGAGTCTCAGCTTCAGGTTCTTGGCTGGACTTTGAGCAAAAGGTCCTAAGTCCTTATGTAAAATTCAACAGGAAGTTTAAATGGCTCCCGTGTGTGAACACTGTGTCAACATACGGCGCTTTTTAATGCGACGGTACATATAAAATTAGAAACCAGGTATGCTTACTCGCAATGGACTGTCCGAAATGCAGGCCCCTCGATGTCCAAGCCCACGTGAAGGAGAGGCCTGAGCAGTCAATAAGCCTTTAAAAGACTGACTGGCTCACAGGAGAGATCAACCTGAGACCGACTTCAGTGCCAAGGATACCCCGGGCTGTCAAGCGCCTTCACTCTGAGAAAGGAAGCACTTAGCAGACACTCAAGGGAAACTCAAGCAGCACTTCCTGGTCAGACCAGGAGCCTCAAGAGCACTTTACAGCACTCTGTGTTTTGACATTTGGGGAAGGAATGTTCTAAAACAAGTTTCCAGTCCGCACCCCCTCAGTACCTCCACCCCCTGTGCCCCCAGTTCCCACCAAAGAGAACAAACAGGAGCCTGCTAAACAAATACCATGTCGAAATCTATTACATTTGGTTAATGCCTGCTGCTGCAGTGACACCAGGCCAGGCCGAGCCAGGCATCCATAAAGCCATTGGCATAGTTAGTGCTCCACGAATGCACCCGTCATCCCTCTGCCTGGGTGCTCCCTGCGCTTGCACGGGACACACCCTGTTAGGAGGTAGTGGAAACATCACAAGAGGCACTCACCAGGTCCGGGTTTCCGGAGAATGAAGACCGGTCAAAGCACCTTCACATTTTATTCTTTGAATCTACAGTGCCTTCTCTTCGAAGCTTAGGGATGAGAAGTCTGCAAGAAACCCCATAAAATCCTTATGAGGAACTACAGATGAAGAGGCATGAGCAGGGTGCCCCACGGTGCTATCAGGCCCAACGGCCTGCACGCGGCATTTCCTGTTCTGACGCCCATTGGCCCTCGCAGGTGCATGTGCCTCTGGGTGGTGTCAGTCTGCCGTTTGGTTTGCGTGCTCTCTCTCTCTCTCTCTCTCTCTCTCTCTCTCTCTCTCTCTGTGTGTGTGTGTGTGTGTGTGTGTGTGTGTGTGTGTGTGAGAACTAGATCCCTCGAAGGAGATTTTAAGGTTGGGATTACCCTCACCGGGAACATCTAGAATCTAGGACACTCCCACCCTAGGTTCAAACTGAGAACAATCCAGCAAGGTTCATTATGGGCTGGTGACTGCCCGATCTGAAAGGGCTGGGGCAGTTTACTTTAACAGGTTGCTACGATTTCTCTAAAACTCACCATTACTGAGCCTGTCCTGGCAAGCAGGGACAATGAAGCAGGACGGCTTCAAGTTCGAGTCTTGTTTAGGCTACAGAGGAATTTCGAAGCCTGTGTGGGCTTCAGGGTGAGTTCAAGGACAGCCTGGGCAACCTAGTCAGAGGCTGTTTCAGAAATGAGCAGTGGACGGAGAGGCTGAGGAGAGGGCTCCATGGTTAAGGGGACTTGCAGCTCTCTCTACCAGAGGTCTCTACCAGAATGGCTCACAAGATGAGATGCCTGCAATTCTAGTTCCAAGGGATTCAAAGGCCACTTCTGACTTCCCTGGGCACACACACCCATGCATGCACTGTCACACACATAATTTTTCCCCCTGAGACAGGGTTTCTCTGTGTAGCTTTGGTGCCTGTCCTGGAACTTGCTCTGTAGACCAGGCTGGCCTCGAACTCACAGAGATCTGTCTGCCTCTGCCTCCTGAGTGCTGGGATTAAAGGTGTGCATCACTACCACCGGAATACACATATAAATTAAAAAAAAATCTTTAAAAATAATGGTGGCCTGGGAAGACTGTTGAGTGGTCGGCAGCATGCTCGTCTAGCCCGTGTGAAGCCTGAGGTCCAATCTCAGTATCCACCCCTCTGTTCAAAACGGGGTTCCTGCCGGGCGATGGTGGCACACGCCTTTAATCCCAGCACTCGGGAGGCAGAGGCAGGCGGATCTCTGTGGGTTCGAGACCAGCCTGGTCTACAGAGCTAGTTCCAGGACAGGCTCCAAAGCCACAGAGAAACCCTGTCTCGAAAAACCAAAAAAAATAAACAAATAAAAAAACAAAACAAAACAAAAAAACGTGGTTCCTGGCGCTAGAATACTGTGATGGACAGAACATGGCCTGGGATTTGGTAGATTTTATATATAAGAAGGGGAAGAAAAGTTTCATATGGCAGAGACTGAAGACACTCAGTTGGTGATTGGTAAAGCTGATGGCGGGTCACGTTTACCATAAAAAGCGTCATGATCAGGCCACTTGAAGCCTAAAAAGACTTTTCAAGCTTGGCAGCTCACACCAGCAACCCCCTGCATTATGAAGGCTAAGGTGCGAGGATGGCAAGTTCAAGGCCAGCCTGGTTCACACGGGGGAGACACTGGAGAATGAGACAGGAACCTTTTCCATGGAAGTGAGGGCTTGTGTGTCCTTGGTATTTTGAGGGCGTGTTGAAGGTAGTACTCAGGGTTGCCAGCAGGCAAAGAAGACCTCGCCAGTGCTCAGTTATTTTAATTCAGGCTTAGAACGAATTTCAATCAAAATTACTTGTACATGCAGAAAGCTGATGACACCCCCAAAATGACATGAGCTTGAGCTGACCAGCTTCCGGCATCAACACACAACCAATGGAGAGCAGGTGAGAAGCCTCCCGGAGCCGCTGTGCTGCGGCTGGGATCATTACTACTGTGGGTTTAAGTACCTGGCGCCTAAGGAGGCACCACAGGCATCAGAGTGGTCTCCTCGCCATGAACAGTTTTCATAGATTTTTCTCCAGCCTGAGATGCATTCTTGGCTTGTATGGTCAAAAATAGAGAGAACGCAAGACCAACCCAAAAGACAAACCTAACATCCAGAGAGTAAAGAGGACATGAAAACATCTCCAAACTGTATTTTCCTTCCTCAGGATTTTTACTTCCTTATGTTCAGAACAACGAAACTCTTTAGCCAACCAATTGGAGAACTCGCTCACGCCAGATTTCTGTAAGACATCCACCAAATCTTCACTAAGCAACTAGATAGGGTGATAGCAAAGAGTAAAAACAAGAACCCCTGTCTTTGTGGACCCTAAATGCTAGCGGCGTGAACAAAACAGACAGAATATTTGCTATGTCTGCCAGAAGTTAGTAAGTGCTGGTGAGAAATTCAGTCTGGAAGGTGGGGGGACCCCCCCCCAAGTTTATCTGTGCTCAGCTACTAAGTACTCATCCTAGAAAGGAAGGGTGAGCGCATGCTTTGGAAGGACAGCATGTGGAGGTGATTTAAGCCATCACCACCTTCTTTGGCTCTGAATCTCAGAGAAAGTGCAACCTTCTAAAGATCCCAACTAATAAAAAATACCATCCAAAGAAACAAACAAATAGACCCCAACCTTAACAGTCACAGCAGACTTAGGAGGCAGAGGCAAGTAGATCTCTGAGTTCAAGGCCAGTCTGGTCTACAGAACAAGCTCCAGGACAGCCAGGGATAACCAGAGAAACCCTGCCTTGAAAAACCAAGAGTCAAAGCGAGATGTTGAAAATGACCAGGAGCCGGGCAGTGGTGGCACACGCCTTTAATCCCAGCACTCGGGAGGCAGAGGCAGGCGGATCTCCATGAGTTCGAGACCAGCCTGGTCTACAAGAGCTAGTTCCAGGACAGGCTCCAAAACCACAGAGAAACCCCGTCTCGAAAAAAAGAAAAGAAAAAAAAAAAAAAGAAAAGAAAACGACCAGGAATCTTTCCAAGTCCTGGGTTTCTGACGTCTCCAGATCAGACATTCCAAGTGTCAAGCTCAGAGGTAATCTTCCCTTAGGAACTGTCCCTATTATCTTCGTCTGCAGCAACAACTGTATTTTATAATTATCTGTGTAACTACACTTAAATACTAGTTTAGATCTAAAGTGTTACAGTTTAACACAATTCAATAATTAAGGTATCGGTTGCAAGGTTAGAAATAGAAGAGACTGTCCTTTTAAAACCAAGACGATGAACTTCTACAAAGGACAAGGGAAGTGGAAACCCTAGAATGGACTATCAGACAGAATATCCTAGAACAAAGAAAGCATATACTTAGAGAACTCAAGAGAAAAGAGGGTGGTCTGAGGTCTCCTGAACCAAGGCAGAACAGTCTTTGTCCAGCACAGGCATGGCCCTGGGTCTATAAAAATATTCTAGAAAGAGAAAAGAATCCTGAAGATGAGGGACAAAGGCACTGAAAGGGCAGGGCTAAGATGGGACCATGGATGGCATGGCAGGAAGTACATGGCCAATAGGTAGGTAAGATGGCTCAGGGGGAAGGTGGTAGGAAAATCTGACCCCCACCGGTTGTCCTCTGACCGCCACAGGAATGCCCCGGCAATAACCGAAACACAGAAAATAAGTGTGCCAAGAATGGGGTGCTCAAACCCAAGAACAGGTTGCTAAATCTGCCCTGTGTTGACTAGGCCAGGAGGGGAGGGGAGAAGAGGGCAGGCCATGCTTGGCTATGGCCAAAGACCCTGTCACAACACAAACAAAACAGAAACAAAGCAGTTTTGCAGCGACAATAAAAGCATAAAGTTTCCCGAAACACCTTTATCATCCTCTCTCTGCTACTAGATCTTGACCCAGGTCACTTAAAAACCATGTCAAAGTGGTTTTTTAAAAATATTTGTGTTAGGGGCTATAGTTCGAAGGCAGGGCACTTGCCTAGTGTATTTGAGGCCCCGAGTTTGAGTCGCATCAACTAAATAAATACAATAAAATAACGTGTATTTGCACATTCCAAAAACACAGTCTTCTGTTTATCCCTGTGATTAGTGCTGCTCTCAGCCCTGGTCAGAAAGATGTCTTCCTGCAGTGGGAGGTGACGAATGAGCGGACTCAGAAGTGGGTGGGGTGCTGAGAAGTGACGGGCAAGTGCTCTGCCCTAGATGGGACATCTGCATCCAGGAGCCTGCCAGGCCTCCAAAGGAAGGCTATGTACAGGCTTGAGGATGGGGAGGGGGCTGTGAGTGACGTCTACTGGGCATGGCATGCCCGCTGCACTCAGGAACTCTGAAGCGGGGTTACCCACACACGATGAAGCCAAAAGATGAGCCAGCACTTAGCCATCATGCCAGCAGGCACAACTAACTGGACTCAGTGGATTACGTATGCAGGAGTGTGGGGTGGGCGGTAGACATGAGGTGGGAGGGAGGCATGCTGAGAGACAGAGAGGAGTGGCCTGGAGAGGATATGATTAAGATACATTGTATACATGTATGAAGTGGTCAAAGGATGAATAAAAGATACTTTAAACATTAAACATTAAGTGAAAATTTAAAAGAACTTATGTTCTCAATAGGACAGAAAATTGGCCATGAACTATGATTCAGGTTAGTGTGTTTACTGCCAAGACCAATTAAGTCATTAGCTTATTTAAGAAAGCTTTCTGACTTAATTAGTGGAATCTATTGTAGGGGGAAGCAAGATGTATTTGAATTGCCATTGCCCTTGTTTGTCATGGACATACAGACAGAAAGGGGAATACACGACCATAAATACAGGGCTGGCAGGGCCAGAGAGATGGCTCAGTGGTTAAGAGCACTGGTTGTTCTCGTAGAGGACCGGGGTTCAGTTCCCAGCACCTACATGGTGGCTCACAAGCATCTGTAACTCTAGTCCCAGGGGATTTGATGTCCTCTTTTGGCCGTAGCAGGCGACAGGCACACATGCAGTGCACGGATATTCATTCAGGTAAACATCCACACACATGAGAGAAAAGAAAAGGAAAAGAAAGTCCTTGCTTAGAAAATAAATAAACAAACACAGGGTTGGTGAGATGGCTCAGTGGGTAAAGGCACGTGCCACCAACATGGATGAACTGAGTCTGATCCCTGGGGCCCACATGATGGAAGGAGAGAACCACCTCCTGCAGGCTGTGCTCCGACCTCCACATGGACATATGATCCTATACCTACACAGAGCAGATAAACGAATATAATAAAGATGAGTATATACTACAGAATCCCAGTTTAATCTGGGAATAAATGTTTTCCCTTAAAATAGCAGAAGAAACTGGAGTTGAACTCTTCTAATGAATATTTCATTCATTAATTACACTATTAAAATAAAGCATTGAAGGTGGATTCGATTTCACTTTCTTCATGGAGGCCGGAGGTAAAATGAAGGGACTGCTACTGATGGACTCAGGCACAGGCTGTTCCTCTGCTGGGAGCTAAAGACATCCTCACAAACAGCAGAGTGGCCAGTTAAACAGGTGACGAGGCTAGCCCACCACAAGTTAAGTCACCCAGGCCAAACCACACCCCAAAATAATAACTCAAGAACTAGCTGCTGTGAGTGACAGAAATTTCCTCCCCAAAGGAAAATAAATTAAAGATGTTTTCTCAGTAAGTCCCCAAAGTCTCCAAACATGTTAAGGCAGGATCTTTCCTTGTATGCATGCATGCATGTATGCATGTATGTATACACATATGTATACACACATATGTATACATATACATGTATGTATATATACACTCACATCTATGTGTATGTATGTCTTTCTGTGTGTGTGCATGTGTGTATCTGTCTGTTCTTTTGGGGAGAGGAGGAAGGAATTAAAACCAGAATCAAATTATGAAGCAAGATGCATCTGTATGTAACACTAGAAAGAACATGGGTGCAGAGGGAGGCTTCGTGATTCCTCTGCCCCAGCTCTCTAGCACTGGCCCCACTCCTACCCCCTGCTCTACCGAAGACCATGTGTTTATGAATGTTGGCAAGCAATGAAAACACTTGTTCAGGTTGGCTTGCCTGTTAAGCCATGCTAGATAGGCAGGCAATCTCCGAGAGCACAATGGACACACTGTGCAGGATGTCATGCAGTAAGGAAAGTGTCAGGCGGGTGCTTGGCTCCTGGGCTCGGCTAAGAGCAGGGAAGAACATGCAAGGGCTCACCTGAGTCTCTCCTGTCGTTGCATTTTATTAAAGCAGGAAACAAGCCTTTCTTTTTTCTTTTTTTGTTTTGGAGACAGGGTTTCTCTTTGTAGTCCTAGCTGTCCTGGAACTTGCTCTGTAGACCAGGCTGGCCTTGAACTCACAGAGATCTGCCTGCCTCTGCCTCAAGTGCTGGGATTAAATGTGTGTGCCACCACTGTCTGGTTGAAACAAGCCTTTTAAGTGAACAAAGATCTCACAGGAATTCCTATCTTCTCACACTCCTCCCCCAGGGAAGAAGGGCACAGGCTCCTCTTAGCAGGAAGAATTCTACTCCACTCTGTCTTCATCATCCCTGGATCAACACCATATGGGAAAGCAGTTGCCATCACTGGCTGGGTGATGACTCAGGAGAGGAAATACATACAAGGGAATACATTTATTGTTTTGACTTCAGAAATGACTATTTACACCACTCAGAAGTGAGCTAACAAGAGGGTAAAAAAAAAAACTTCTCTGTCGGACACTTCTCTGAGTTCCTGGAAGAACTGGGGTGGGGGCTTCCCATTCAGAGGTACACCCCCCATGCTCTACCCTTAGGATGACTTAAACGCCCCCCAAAACACCCTCTTAACTTCACTTCTTTGAATTCTGGGAAAATCTGTGCCTGCTGCAGCTGGTCCGGTGTCCCTCAGGGAGGATTTTTAGTGGGTGGGTTTCCATCATCACCCCTGGCTCCATCTCATGGCATCAGAACTGCTGGGAGGGAACAAGCCTTTTCCTTACTATCGCCTGGGTGAAAACCATGTCAGATGTTGGTCTTGGGCCAAAATGACAGTGAGGCTGACAGTGTGCTTGGTGTTCGGTGGGAAAATCACTCGCCTAGCATGCAAAAGGCCCTGGGTTTGACGCTCTGTACCTAAACAAACAAACAACAAAAGCAAGCCTACTTTTGTTGTTATTCTGAGGCCCAAACCCAGGGCTTTGGGCTCCTTAGGTAGAAAATCCCCAACCCCTTGTGTCTACTGGAAACAACACAGTGTACCTCTTGGTGGAGCTACCTAATGCTAAACACAAGTGAAATATTTCTTTGGCTTTTTGAGATGCTGTCTTAAAGTCCAGGCTGACTTGGTACTCCTTGAGCAGGTAGCCCAGGCTAGCCTCCAGCTCAAAATTATCCTGTCTCAGCATCCTGAGTCTTGCTGCCATGGCCAGAGAAGGGATTTCTAACCCCGCACACTCAAAACCTGAGTCAGAGGAGATATCTAGACAACAGAAATGGAATCGTACTTAATTCTCCATTATTTCCCTAAAACTACCCTTTTCTAAGCTTCCAAAACCAAACCAAACAGAAAGACAGAAAGAAATAATACAGTGATGAAGAGAGCAAAAGCAGTGTTAGAAACAGAGAAAAGGAAAAATTAAAAAAAAATACAAGAGTTCTATGAAAATGCCCCAATAAAAATTCATTGCTTTGGAACGTTAATCCAAAAAATAATTTAAGAAAAATATCATGATTTTTAAAAAATCTTCAAATATAAAGTTGATGGCTAAATAAAGTGCATTGGGGTTGAATTCAGAAGGTGGGTGTGGCCATGTCAACCTAACACAGCCCTGGGGTTATGATATTTTCCCATCCCTCAGAGAAGAACCTGCCACCATGGACCACTTCAATTCTTTGTCCCAGCCTTAAGACAGACCTATAGCGTCTGCTTTGAATATGCATACCTGGCTTAGATGCCTAGAAAGTGCCATTCGTTTATCGACCCCAGCAACTGCTTTGAAAAATTGACTGTGACCTTCTAACACATCAAAGTTTAAACAGCCTTAACTACAAAACCTGCTCCGGTTCTCTTAAATCTGCATTGCAAACACTGATAGGGTCAGGCTGCCAAATGGGAAAAAGTTTCTTAACTCCTCCTGGAGCGAAAATGAAAAACTAAAATCAAACCAACCAACTAAATAAACAAACAACGATAAAAGGCCAAAACCTGCTTCAGGAGCACAATTTTCAGTATCAAAATTAACATCCTAATTAATCCAAAGTGAGGATATTCCAAAAGACATCTTCCTCCAACTTCTTGGGATGGGGTCAAAGGGAAGCCCCTCTAGTTTTCCCCCAGATCTTTCATCAAGGAATTCCCCAGGCCGAACTTTAGTAAAGAGATAAAAAGCCAGTCTGCTGTTTACAAGAGGCGAGGCGGCCCGCGAGTCTAATCTCTACAAATCGTCTGGCTAGCCCTTGGCCAGTCCTTGCGATCCGTGTCTTTCATTCCGGGGCCCATCACATGATCCCCCTTCCAGTGTCCCGGAACTCAACACTCGGGGAGACCTAGGATTCGTAGAAGCGGAACATCGGTGTCCAGGTGTCAGCTTTGCTCCCGTCCCCGTCCCCGCTGGATGCCACCAGGACCCAGGCAGCCCGTGTTTTTCCCCCAGGTATCTGACTGCCAGTCAGAAAGCCACACTCTCGCTCTGAATGCTCGCTTTTCTCTGGTATCCCATTCACCCGCTCTCCTTGGACTCCAGTGCTGGCCCTGCTCTGGGACACCTGTCTGTCTTGTCCTTTCGTGGGGACCCCTCTTGTCACCCAATTGTCCTAAACTTTCTTCAAGTCCTCTTTACATCCATCGAGAGAGCAGTTTCCAGAACCACTGCCCTGGCCTCCTTTGAGGTTCTTTGCCTATCTCTTGGGTGCCCTTCCTTCATTCCGCTGCCTCGATTCTCTCAAATCCATTTGCTCAGTCTGCAGTCCCGGTCCTTCTCTGTGTCTCCTCCGCTCACTCCACGGGTCCGGTCCCTTTCTGAGTCCGGTCCGCTCTCCTCACTGGTCTACCTGGGGCGGATCTTCTCGTTCATCCCACCGTCCCAGTCCCTCCGGAGTCCTCTTGCTCATTCCACTGCTCCTGATCCCTCTCCAGGTCCCTATTCAAGTCGCTTCGTTAATCCCACTGCCCAGTCCCGTTCTGGGGTCCCCTTGCTCACCTGCGGTATTTCTCGGTTCCCTCCTCATCTAGCTTTCCCCATCCCTCTCTGCATCCCCTCTCTCACCAGCGGTCCTACTCGGAATCCACTCTTTACTTCGCCGTCCCTGTCCCCATCCTGGTCCTCTCCCTCACCCGCGGTCCTTCTCGGGGTCCCCTCCGCACTCCCCGTCCCGGTTCCCTCCCGGTCCCCAGAAGCACTGACAACTCTGTTCCCGGGATGCTCGTGACCGCTGCTCGAGTCCCCGCGCCGGGACTCCGGCTGTCACTCTGGCGCCCGCGCTCTCACCTCAGCACTGTCACCCGCGACCCCGGCGCCACCGCCTTCTCTCACTCGTGCCCCGAGTCGCTCTTGTGCCGAGTCCTCGCGTGCTGCGTCCCCACGCGCAGCCTCCCGTCCGCGAGTCCGCGTCGCGTTCCACTCTCCACGCAGGACCCTCGCTGCCGCCGCTGCTGCTGTCCGAGGTGCGGCTCCGCCAGGGGTGGCCAATCGCACCCGATTGCGCGGAGCGCGCCCCGCCCCCACTCGGCCCCGCCCTCGACCCCGCCCCCTGCCGCTCTCTGATAGGCTCTCTACTGACCTTACCTGATCGCCGGCCTCGGGCCCCATGTCACACATAGGCGTTCGATTGGCCTTCCCTGGGAAACCCGAGCGGTCGATGGGTCCACGGGATTGGCGGAATAGGGAGTGGGCGGGCCCTGTGGGCGGGGCTCTCTCAAACGCGGAAGTTCTCACCACTTGGGTTACCCGTGGCCCTCTTCGGGTGCGGTCAGGCTTGTTTGTGCAGCGCAGGGGTCAAAGTTCGTGGCTCTCTTCCCCACGCCTTGACTTTTCTCGGGAGACCACCGTGGGAGAGTATGTTGGGCGGACCCGGTCTCTCAGGTCGCTCGCTGGACAGTTTACAGCTGCTAGTCACCCATAAGGCAAGCTTTCCTCCTGGGGCTTGCAATTATTTCCTAGCTCTCAGACGGGGGAATTGCGTTTTCTTGCCTTACGTTCAGTGGACGCCGGTTTACTGCTGGAGAGGAAAAAGAATCTGTAGACTAGATAAACACTAAGTACTTAACACGGTTTTGAGAAGTCAAGCCTTTCCACTCGCTGTGGCCGCCTATGCTCCAATACTTCACAGGCAGAGGCAGGAAGATCGCCTCAAGTTTAAGTCTAGCCTGGGCTACATGGCTAGACCCTGTCACACAAGGGAAAAAAGCTGAAAAAGGAAACACTCGTTTTGTGAGTTTTGATTATCACGGCTGAACAAGGAGTTGGGATAGGAGAGGTTTCAGCAAGCATATTCAACTGAACCTCTTCCAGGGCCACGGACTTTAAGGAACCAAAGGTGGAAGGACACTGAGTTTTGACCCCAAGTGCACCCTGCAATAACCTGGATCCATCCCGAGCCACGTGGAAACGCAGTGCTTGCCAGGGATTAAAGTGCACCAGGACCTGTCTCACGGTTTTGCGGAAAGGGCTGTGTTGTTCCAGTTAACGGTAGAGGCTCAAAACGGGTTTCGGCAGGAGCCCATTTTCACCCGGAGCCACGTCAGACGTGGACACACCTTATCTCTTAGTAAATGCTCTACTGTAAAGTTTTTAAATTCTTATTTGTTTATCTTATCTGCGATTGGCTCTGGCGCAGCCTTGGCCTAGAACTCTGCTCTAGTAGACAAGTAGACAGCTTGGCCTTGAACTTGCCAGCGCCTCAGCTGGAACTCAAGGCGTGGCCACCACACCTGCCCCGTTTTCGTGTTTTGTTCTACTGGAGGTTTAACCAAGCTACTCAAACACGTCGGAAAGTTGCTCATTTTAACTCGAGCTCTAGCCCGTCCCTCCCCCAGTCCACATTTGCATCCTAAACATCTGTTTGCAAATCAAAGTTCATCCCAACCTCTGGGCCCCCTTAAAATCTTCTTGGTGGGAACCCAGAGGCTGGCTGGGAAGGCCTGAAGTTGTGAACACTGGGCTCCAGGGTTTGAGTTTTAGGTTCGATTCGGAGGTGTGTGTTTTCCTGAGTAGTCTGAATACCGTCTTTGGGCAAGAAGCAGTGGAGGACTTTAAGGAATGAAATGATTCTAAAGGAAACTTAGGTTTTATAGGCAAAGTTGGCTATAGAATGGAATAGAATAAAAAAAAATGGAACAGAAGTTGACCAAGCCTAAAATAAGAGATTTTTAAAAAGTCGTTTCTGTCTTCCAGCTCTGCAGTCTCCAGGGAAGATAAGGGGTAAACTGTGGTCATCCAACTGTTTGTGTCGCTGTCAAACACATAAAACAAAAAGGCATGGCTAGGGCTGGAAAGATGGCTCAGCGGTTAAGAGCATTGCCTACTCTTCCAAAGGTCCTGAGTTCAATTCCCAGCTACCACATGGCGGCTCACAACCATCTGTAATGAGGTCTGGTGCCCTCTTCTGGCCTGCAGGCATACATGTAGACAGAATATTGTATACATAATAAATAAATAAATAATTAAAAAAAAGGCATGGCTACTAACAGGCTGTCTGCAGTCTGGGAGACAGAAATAAAAGTTAAAGGAAAGCAGGATTACAAAGAAGGGCCCAGTTTCTTGTAACTTTTAGTAACAAAACCAACTACTTTTTGATTCATTGTATCAATGAATTCTGATTTCAAAAATGTTGCCCTTCATTTTTTTTTCTGTTTTGTGAATAGCATTATTAATGAACGCTAGTCCCACAGTGTGGATTTCAGTTTATATGTGATCCAACAGGGGGTGGGTGCGTGTGCGCCTGAACACACACACACACACACACACACACACACACGAAGCCGACGTCATCCTTTGCAGGAGAGACCTCTCTGCAAATTTCTACTGAGACTGAGCTTGAAGAAAGACTTGTTGAGAAGGGATTTCAGATCCCAGGACTTCTGAGAAGCTCATCTCAGCATTGCATTCTGGGAATTCTCGCATTTCACACAGAGGCCCTATCCCTTACAAAGAGAGCCAAGGTTTAATGAAAATAAGGTAGTAAAATAGGCAATGTCAGAATGAATGGGACCAAACACAAATGTTCTCTTTTTTAGAAGTATCTCTGGGCCAATTTGGAAATACATTTGATCATAGAGGATGTGAGAATCAAACACTGTATTGGGTTCCACCCTGCCTTTGACACACATCTGCCCCGTTTTCGTTACTTCTTCCTTTTCCTGTGCAGATTTGACTACTGAAGGATGTTGCTGTCGCCACTTTGTCCCCACCTCCCAGCATTAGGAATTGAAGTTAGCTAGGGTCTCCAGCATGCCAGGCAAGTGCTCCACCCAGCTGCATCCACAGCCCTCTTTTTGTTTTCAGGCAGGGTCTCATTAAGATGGATGACCTCGATCTTACCTTCCCTCCTACTTTATCTTCCTGAGTAACTGGGATTATAGTCTTGACACACTGGGCTCACTTTTCTTTCTTTCTTTCTTTCTTTCTTTCTTTCTTTCTTAGGTTTTTAGAGACATGTTTCTTTGTGTAGCTTTGGAGCAGGTCTTGGAACTCGCTCTTTTACTTACTTATTTGAACGCGCTTATTTATTTATTTATTTATTTATTTGGTTTTTCAAGACAGGGTTTCTCTGTGGTTTTGGAGCCTGTCCTGGAATTAGCTCTTGTAGACCAGGCTGGTCTCGAACTCACAGAGATCCGCCTGTCTCTGCCTCCCGAGCGCTGGGATTAAAGGCGTGCGCCCCCACCGCCCGGCTGGAACTCGCTCTGTAGACCAGACTGGTCCCATTGAGATCCGCCTGCCCTGTGCTGGGATTACAGGAGTGTGCCACTACACCGGCGTTGGCTTTTCAATTTCAGCCAACGTATTATTTGCTCACCTAAAAATTAGCAGGCTAACTAGTTACTGGATTAGGCAAAAGTACCTTAAAAGTACATTTGAGGAAACACAAGGCAGCTGTTCCATGAACAGCCTGGATCTGGGTTTCTAAACTGATGCCACCTCTCTCTCTCTCTCTCTCTCCCTTCCTTCTCTCTTTTCTTTCTTTTTTTGAATGGAGAATGATAGCTCTTTGATCATTTGTCAAATCAGGAAAAACAGCTCACCCAGTAAACCTATTCAAACGAAAGCACTAGAAAGGCCTGGGTACATACGTTCACTCGGGGACGGAATGGCAGCAGCTTGCCTTTATTTTAATTCTTAAGCCCCCATTATGGCAGGGGCGGAAGCAGACTCCCCATTTTCTGTATCGCACACACTCTAGCTGTCCAGGTTTCCACACCCACCACGGGATCGGTTCTTGTCATTCACCTCTCCAGGGCTTTGCCAAGCCTCCGCCCAGGTCGCGCCCGTCCACACTTTAGTTTTGACTCCGGGCGCCGCCTGGCGGCCGTTTCCGGAAGTGTCCTCCCAGCTTCGGGGTCCTGTCCGCAGCCAGCGCTGCCCAAGGATATGCCTGACTCCAGCGACAGCTGCCTTCGCCCCTCCCCGTGGCCGTTCGATCGAGCATTCTTAAGAAAGCGATGAAGGCGCTGCTGTGTGAGAGAACGTGGAGCCCTGCGTCTCACCCATCGCCTCGAGGATGGCGGCATCAGGCTGTCACCGGGCAGCCTCCGACCCGGAAGTGGCCGGCCGCGCTAGGTCCCCGTTGCCCAGCGCGGGCGCCGGGGGCGGAGCTCGGCACCGAGGGAGACCGGGTGGCGGCGACTCCGGCTCCGCGAGGTGGGGGCAGTCCGGGGCGCAGCCAGGCGGCCGCGATCTCCGCGGGACACGTTCCGCCGCGGCCCGAGGCGGCGACATGAGTGCCGCGGGGCTGCTGGCTCCCGCGCCCGCCCCTGCTGCAGCGCCGCCCGCCCCGGAGTACTACCCCGAGGACGACGAGGAGCTGGAGAGCGCCGAGGACGACGAGCGCAGCTGCCGGGGCCGCGAGTCCGACGAAGGTGAGGTCCGGGCTGCGATCGGGGCCCGGGGGCTATGGGGTAGGGGTCAGATGTCGCCAGAGCTCTCCAGAGCCAGGGCTTCCTGCTCGGTGTCTCAGATCTTCTCGGGATGTCATCCCTCGGAGTGCACTTGGGTCGGAGTGATGCCCAGCTTCTCTTCTCAAAACGCTTAACGCCCTGCCTCCACTTGGGGACCTGGAACTAGCCAGGTGTAAGTATTGATTTGTCTGGCAACTACACCAGCTTTGTGACCTCAAGGTGCCCAGCCTCTTGTTTGCCCACCTGATGCGGAGTCGTATGGAGTCCTCACTTCCTGGGTGGGTGTAAGGGTTAAATCCGCTTTGCCGCTGTGAAGCAGACGCAGGGGAGGTCGGGAGTTGTTTTCAGTCCCGAGTATTTTGCGTTTGCCTTCTTGCTTCCCAGAGCTCCACTTCTCAATCTGGACTTTGTGTGCTCTAGTGGCTAGTGTGAGGGACACCCAAAGAGATTGAGGAAGGAGCTGGCTAAGTGGAGGAGAGGCTAATAGGTGGAGAGGTGCGGAGGGGGAGGCGGGGCGGCCTCTGTATGAGTGGAGTATAGTATTCCGGCACAAAG